CGGTTGTTGTAGTGTGGCAAATAATTATTTCTTTTTTGTACAAAATGTATATGTTTTTTTTTCATCATCAACTCACCGCTGGCAGATACTAAACCAACATGCTGAGTCAACTCTAAAGGGACTTTCAGTAACTAGATGGTCTGCTAGAAATTATGCATGTCAGAGTCTCAATAAAAATTGGGCAGCTGTAAAAAATGCATTGCAGGAGTTCTTAACGTTGTTCTTAACTCATTTAAATACAATATGTTTCGAAAAAAAAAAATCATAAAAACGAGAAGTAATAAAGTGAATTTGTTCCTTTATTTAAAAATTAAAATACAAGTAATGTTCTATAATTTGAAATAGGTATTTATAATTTTTATTTTTAACACTCACCCACTCACGACATCAAAGGTGGGGGGGGCGGAATTTCATAAGGACCCCGGGGCGCATATTTTCTAAATACGGCCCTGAATACGAATACCACTTACCAGTAAAATGACAATGACATTTTTCGTTTTTCGTTTTATTTGTTTTTAGTGTTTTTACTTTTTACTTCGTAATTGTCTACTCTCTAGTACTTAACAGTCCAGTCTCCAGTATTCTTGAAGTGTACTGTACTGCTGCTGTACTGTTTATACTTAAATACTTAATCTATATTTTACAACACCTACTTTACTCGTGTCGTGACTACACGTGAGCTTCACAGAATTTATTGATTTTTTAACGACTTTAATAATATTAACTTGTAAGTACAAACATTATATTTTATATTAATATATTAAATTTTATTAATTTATTACTTCATTTGTTTTCAAAACATAAACTATTTAAGATTCAAAAATCAAAATCGCTAGTTAATAATTAAAAATTTTAATTTTGTAAGAAACTCTTTATATTTTAACTTCAAAATACTAATTAAGTTTTAATTTTTTAGCAATGGATCGAAAATCAGTTAATCCTGTAGGTGCGTTGTTTTTTTTAATATAATAAAGGATCTAAAACATCAAAATGTAAGATTTCTGACTGTCCACATCCTATCATGAAAGGTATACATTCAATGACACTTCAAAAATACGTAGAGCAACGTCATTCAAAATCGTATCTTGTGTTAGTAAAGGAGAAAGGGCGTATAGAACATTCCGATAGTGTTTCGGATAAAGCTGATGGTTTTGAATCGAATAACAAAAACATGAAGGTAAGAAGTACAATTCTTTCTAGATAATTAGAAATTTCCAAATACGGATCTGTCAAATATTTAATATTACGATCTTTTGGTAGGTAGGTAACAAGATGTACATGAAGTTGCCCCCCCCCCACTTTGTCCGAATGTCTTCAAAATACCACCAAATAATTGCAAATCGATTTTCATTAATTGCAAATAACCCCGTTTTGAGTAAACTCAAATTCAAAATTGGGGGGCCAACTTCATGTAGCCCTCCACTTTGTCCGATTCGTTTCAAAATACCACCAAATAATTGCAACTAATTGCAAATCGAGTTTGGTTAATTGCAAATCATTTTTTATATTTGTTACGAATTTAAATTTTTTAGCCAGCCCCCCCCCCACTTTGTCCGATTAGTTTCAAAATACCGCCAAATAATTGAAAATTATTCGTTTTTAAATTTTTTATTATTTTTAACACAAATACCTAATGAATATATTATAAATTAAAATGACTCGTTAAGAATATTAATAAAAATGGTAAATAAAATAATAAAAAATTTAAAAACGATTAAGAAAAAGCTATTTATAGGTTAGATATTTATATTTGTTAGTACTTTGTATTCATAATTTTTATGATCACATAAAAATGATGTATAATAATCATTTTTAAATACAATTTTTAAAAAAAGGTGGTTAATTGGGTGTCGCTCTACTGTACAGTAGTTTACAAGTGGGTCACTGTATGAAAAAATGGATGGTATTACATTTGAATTCAATGATATTATATCATTGTATAAGAAAAACGATTCTGAGCAAGGACGGTATGTCCTTCTAGGTATAAGACATATTATGTACTTATCTATGGTATCAAAAAAAAATTGACCTATAATGAATTCCAAATTAATCATATCACAATATCCATTATTTACTTATAATGCGTTATACACCAACAACAAACCCTGATACTATCATAGATATATAGTAGTATACTTTAGAAGTTCCAAGTACCCACGAATAATATTATACAATCACAACAAAATAACTAAAATAGTTATTCTAGGTTTTTTATTATGTAATTTCGTCCAAATTTGAATTTAAAATGTCTGTAAAAAATAACTGTGTTCATATATATTTTAAATTTTTGGTTACAGTATGAACTATTTATGAGAACCTTTGTTTTAAATTTAGTAATCCTTAGCTATAAAAACTGAACATTTTATAATTTATTAATTACAATGATTGATAATTTTCGATTAATTTTGATAAATTTTGTCAAAATTCGATCTTTAAATGCGTATAAAAAAAATTGTGCCTATGTATTTTTAATAATTTTTAATTGCTATTTTTACAATATATCAGGAGCCTTGTATTAAATTTGTACACTTTTTGGCCCAACAGATAAAACTTTATTGATATTTATAGAAAAAAAACTAAAAAAATTTGAAAGCTGTAAATGTCTGTAAACAGCTCAATAAGAGTCAAAATATTTTCAAAATTGTATGGTGTATAGGAAATGCTAATATAAACATTCAGTGAATATTTCATGTATCTACAGTTATTCGTTTTTGAATTACAACAAAATAAGGAAATCGCTACATGAGAAATCGAGTGAATATCCAGTGTTGTAAAAATTTGAATTTAAAACGCTCATAAAAATTTAATTTGACTTTCTTATAGAAATTTTTTTTTTGATAAAGGTAGGCAAACTTATGAGAAATCTTTTTCAATTCGGCCAACGCACGAAGTTTCATTCCCTTGATATTATCAATATTATAGAAATCTATATAATTTATGGAAATGCCAATACTGTTGTTCCTATGTTCACAGCAATCAGCCAGCCCGATAATCAGTATCG